ACTTGGCACAGCTTTCTACCAAGGCATGAATAGAACTAAAAGAACTTGTCCTTGGTTCAGTCAAGCAAACCCCATTTTCATTCCCAGGTGATGAACAGGCAGTCCTAGTAGCATCTGCAACATTCCCAGTTTCCACAATATTTCTGCTGTGTTCTTCATCAAGAATAGCTGTTGGTGATCTCACACCTTCAGATCCAACAAGCCCTTCCTTGACATCATTGCCCTGCCATGACTCTGATTTAGCTTCTGAGGAAATATGAGAACAAGCAACATCACTCCGTCGTTTCACTCTCTGATCATTATGGTCCTGTTTATCTGAAATACCAGGAGACGACGATCTGCTGCCCATGACCAATGGGTCCTCAGAAGAGCATCCAGTGGCACTATGTCCAGGACTTCGACCAGGGTTAGGAAGCCTGACAATCAGCCTGCTGCTATTTCCATGATCACCAACAACTGTATCCAGTGGCTTTTCACATGTTGATCCAGATTGTGATGCTTTTTCTGATGTCATAACTTTGTTGACAGAACCAGACCTACCAGAATGAGTTTCCTTCTGAATTCCTGATAAATTTGTTCCTAGAATCCCATTGCTTGACCTTCGGTTGTGAGATGAACCACCAGTTAGCTTGGTAGTATTCACCAATCCAGCTGTCGAACTCCTTGCTTCTTCCTTCCAGGAAGAAGCCATTATTTTTGCTTGATCACTAGAACAAGATTGGTGGTTGTTCTGAGACTGATTGGAACCACTGCTCTTCTCCTCTTTAACTGCTACAGCGATCGACTCTGAACCCCCATTACTAGAAGCTGTTTTGCCATGTGGATCCTTCGAACTGACTGCTACAGAAGCAGGAAAAACTGACTTCACAGTAGAATCTGATACTCCAGGCTTGCTAGACAAAGCTTTACATGCCGATGACCGAGCAACGGGCATTTTAGCAACAACCTCAGTTGATCCAGTGCGCTTATTTCCTGCATGACTAGCATCAGAACAACCTGGCTTGACTGGCCAGGAAACAGGCTGGCTAGATCCAACAGATTTTGCATCATCAATTTTTGACAATTCTGCACCAACCCGTTTCTTCCAAGTGTCAACAAGATTCCTAGCTTTCTTCTGGATCTCCAGGTTTTTATGATTGCGAAGATTATTCACCGACTTACCAATATTACAAGTCTGCAAAGCATTGAGGTTTACAGGCAACTTCTCAAGTGCATGAAGCAAGGACAAGAGGAAATCATCAACTATTTTGTCACTTTCCCTGGGACTACTACCATCACTGGTCTTTCCTTTGTGTACCTCCTGGAGCCAATCATCTAACACAGGCACTCCCTTGAGCTGCACAAACCTTCCAAGGCAATCATTTTTATCAGTGGCTGCAATGACATCTGCAAGCATTATCCGACAAGCCAAATCTATTTTTCTCTCACTTCTATCAAGATGCATGAGATCCACCAATTTTTCAACCCCTTCCATGCTTACAAGCCCACCCTTATCTGTTATTTTGGCAATTTCTGTCTTCATGTTGTCAGATATAGAGTTAACGGAATCACCATCATCAGATTTAGCGGAATACTCTCGCTTGATGGGTTCTGTTACCTGGTCTCGCTTGACAGTCTCTGTGTCTTGATCTCCCTTGAGATGCTCCACAGCCTGATCACTTCTCAACCTTTTCTTTCCTTTGGTCTGAGAAGAGAAGGAGGTGCCACTATTTTGGATGCTATCTGAACCAGATTTTAACTGTTGTGTGCTTGCAGGAGCATTCAGAGATTTTGGTGACCGCCCACCTGATTGCACTGCTGCATGCATTTCTAGCAAAGTTTTGTTTAAAAGCTGATCCACTTCTTCCTGATGTTCCTGAGGAAGGACAACTGTAAAAGGTTGATACGTGCACAAATATAAATGACAGAATAAGAATGGTTTGTCCTAACACTACCATCAAATAGCAATTTTAACAAATATATTGAAAAACTCACATTGATATAATCCTTATCAGTCAACCACCACAAGCGCTTATTAGCAATATCATATACTCTCCTACAGACAAAAGATGGTATCCCTAATGGAAGCTCAACACCCTTCTGCAAAAATGCAACTTTACACGGATGGAGCAATGAAGCAGTAGGAATCACGTCCTTGTGGAAGGAGTAAAAGACTTCGTTTGGTGCAGCATCATGCAATATGCCTTTTGCAAGCTTAATGTCAGCAGGTCGGTAAAGCCAGTTAACACACAACTTAAGATGATCCTCTTTGCCTTTTGAAAACTGGCGAATTATTCCAATGAAAGGTGGAGCATTTCCAGCCTGAAAAAGTGCACAATCACCAACTCGAATTTGGCGTCCATCCTGTGGCGAAAAAGAACTATTAGCCAGATGATATAAGAAAAGTAGAACAAAATGAAATAAACTCAGTGTCATGCAAAATGCAGAAGAACAGTAAATCAATGATACAAGGACTAAGTAGAACACTAAATAAAAGATACAAGGACTATCATTCTAAAAATTGGTGACCCAATCCATGAGACTTCCACCAATGCAGTGTTACCAGGGATTCAATTCTTTCCTACTTCCCACACCCTTCGAACTTCAAACACAATATTTTGCTGTGCCAACCTCTATTAGCATGTTCAGCAAGTGGATCCTGCACTCTGTCATTCGAGACAGAACAGGCTACTGCACCACGGATTTCAAGTTAACGGTGTCCCATTATTTGGAACCCAAGTAGTATTTCTCTTATGAAATCCTTTTCTCTTTTCTCACTCCTTCCCTCTATGCATAAATATATGGTGCACAAGGCACCAACGACGCATACACAAACACTCCTGAGGAATAAAAAATCCAGCCTGTTGGTAGGCAACTGAATGCTCTAGCCATCTGAGTACTTAGACGTGAGCATAAGGTTATATATCTTTAACACATAGGATCATATATATTTGAATTTTCAATATGTTTGGATAAAAAATCAACAAAATTGACCACAGAAGATAACAGATCCAGAGATTTACCTCAATCTGATGAAAGGGACGAATATTCTTGTTCTCTCATAATGGCCTCAATAATCCTGCTCAGTCCCATAATATTTTCACTCACCTGAAGAAGCCTTGATACATCCCTATTCAGATATTGAATTGATCCTTCGAAAGTGTCGAGATCCTCAAATTCAAAGAGTTGATTATCTGCAAACTTAACTGTCTTTTATCTCTGAAATACAAACCTAAGACTCTATCTAATTTGAACATCAGTTTAAGATCTTATTAGGTGTCTTCAAGGCCCATTGAGATGAGTTTGGGTTGCACCATAAGCTCATATCAATTTCATAATCTCTCAAATACTTAGTCATAAACAAATTATCCTAGCCGACATTGGTAAAAAGCATTCAAATTAGGATATCTTCCTACCACAATCCCATCATTTTTCAAAGTCAATATATTATCTGTTATATTCAACAACAATGTAAAGAAAACTCTCAGCATAACGTGAATTATTCCAGCATTCCAAACCCTGGAAACTTTCAAAGAAAAAGGGCTTGCTACACATCCAACCGAAACTCAATTACCCAAAGCAGCTGTGTGACTACAATGAGCCCACCAAAACGAATGAATATGATTGACAGCATATAGGACTTTTGTGTTAAATACTGCAACAAAATGAACATAAAATCCAAATGTGCTGTTGGAAGCTTAACTGAAGCATGAACATCTTCTAAACCGTCAACAGAGATGGAAACACAAGCTTTTTTCAACCTCGTGAAAGTAAATAATTCTTTTATTGTTATGCTCGTTTACCCAATTGAGAGATTTCTAACAGAATAATACGTTCTGCATCTGTAGGTGTTCCTAAATTTTCTATATCTTCTCACTGAATGGAGAAAATACATAAGCGACCTAGTGCAAAAGTTGTCAGAGTTCACAATCCATATTAAGTGTTCATCTTTAGTTGGAACCTAACAACCATAAATTTGATAGGAAAAAAAAAAAACATGACGTACGAACGAAACTTTCCCAGATATACAATGAAAAGGCAAGAAAATATCCAACCAACACAAAAACTACTATCGAACTGTCCACCGTCAATTCCAAGTTCTGATCTCCAAGATAAAAACTCAAGGAAGGAGGCACCTTTAAGAACGAATCCGAGGGGGTCTCTGATGATACCGGCGGCGGCCGAAGAGATAGGGTAGCAGATGCTGACGCTGCTATATCACCGGGCGGAGGAACCGGCCGCATATGCCGCCCCCGTTTCCACTCACCTTCCCTCCCATGCATAGCCTTGCATCTTTCCCAATTTGGATGCCTCCGATCCCTCCTCCGGCGCGAACCATCAATTCCCAATCGCTGCCGATTCCCGAATCACCGAACGAATCAAACCGCGCAAAAAAAGCCTCCAAACACTAGATCCAGGGGCGGAAGACCCCGATGGACGAGCTGGAGGAAACCCTAATTCCGCCCACCGCCCACAGACTGGCGATGGGAGACGACGGAAGGACAGATGGAAGGATGATGACGATGGCGATGGAGGGGGAAGGAAGCAATCGAACAGCGAAAGGGGATTGGAATCGCAAGGGTCGTAACCGGAAGATGGATTTTGGTTGGCTTTTTTCTTCTCTTCTTGGCGACCGTATGGGGAGGCAGAGAAATGGATTATATTTGCGAGACCAATGCAAGAGGGGTGAAAGGGAGAGCCGTTCTTGGTTTGGTTTGGTTTGCTTTGGTTCGGTTCGGTGAAACGGGAAAGGGAGAGAGTAGACCGGTCGCAGCTCCTATGTTCCAGTCTAACACCCAACCCATCCAAGAGCACATATTGGTCTGTCTAATGCAAATGGAGCCCACATAACTTCCCCAATGGAAGAAGCGTTCTGATCTTTTTTTGTCTCGGACAAAACACGGGATTGGGATTGGTTTATATAGATGTAACAGGAACAGTATACATGTAGTGTTTATGTATGTACTATGTATATGTACGTATGTAAATAGAAATCATGCGTATTAATGGGCTTTATGGTTTCATCAACGGAGCTCTGCTTTGGGGAAGCTGTGGAGAAGGAAGGAGGCACATGGAGGGAGGCGGCGGCGAGGAGCTTGCGGTGGGCTGCGTCCTCTCCCTGAGAACAACTCTCGGGGACGAGATCGAAGGCCAAATCGTTGCCTACGACCGCCCCTCCAACATCCTCGTCATCCATATCCTTCTCGCACTCTTCGATCGAATCTTTTTCTTCTTCTTTTTGTTTGTTGCTTTCCCTGTCATCTTGATTCGTTGTCTTTGACCGATTCGACGATGCTCACAAGAAGGCAGTTCGAATGCGGGGGCTCGAAGGAACATTCGACTTCTGAAGGCCAACTACATCCAGGACTTCACGTATCTGAAGAAAGCGGAGGACCCCCTTGACCTCAACAAGTGCTACATCGATCTTGCCGGTCTCCAGGCCAGAGAAGAGGCTTCTTTGAGGTGTTGGTTCATTTTGTTTATTATCCAAGTTTTAGGTTTTGCTTCTGCGAATTTTCAGAAATAGATGAACTTTTGTGAGGAAATTAATTATAGAGATAGTCGATTCATGTGATAGTTGCATTAAAATTTGAAAGACGAAATTCTTGTGCAAGTTTCCTTTTGATAAATCAGACTAAGAAATGAACTTAGCAGAAAAACTTGAACTTTCCTTTTGTTTCCAATTCGATGGATTGTCTCTGATGCCTTCTATAGTAAAATGGTTTGTGAATGTACAGACAAGCAGAGATTGAAGCTGAGCGGATTGGTGTTGGGGTCACTAGCGAGGCTCAAAGTCTTTTTGATGCATTGTCTAAGACGTGAGAACAATTGTCCTACTTAAATTCTCTCTTTTAATTGACTTTATGCACTTAGAATAGTGAATGATGCATTCAGCTCCTCTTCTTCCAACCATAGCTCCATCTAAAAGTTTTGAAGCGGGTTTATCTCAGTTAAAACTATTGATTCTTCATTGTGTTCTATCCAGATGTGGGACATGTACCAGTTGTTCAATTTGTTAAGGATTGTATGCAAATTTACAGAAAGTATTGTGACTTTATTCAGGGCAATTTTGTAAACAGATTCTGATGGTAAAGGAATGAATCAAAGAGTAGAACCTGATCAGAGAAAAATAATCTTTGTGCTGTTACATTTGAATTGTGATCCCATCTTTGTTTTCTTCTATGATTGAAAGTTCTTTTGATTCAACTTGTGATTGGTATATTAATCAATTCACTGTTTGTCCAAGTGTGGACCATGTCAAGCAATATCATTTAACCCAATTTGTTTTTGTGCTGAAGTTACTTTGAGATGTATTGTCTTTAAGACATTTTCCTTCCTTATAAGTCCTTGTTGTGACACACTCCAGTTTCACATTTGATACTGAAATCATCTGCTTTGTTTCCCCATTTGACTAAATAGACAGTGATTTAGGAACTTGTTTTGATCAGACTTGATCTACGAATCTAGCCAAGGTTTTCTAGAAAATTCAGGCACGTAGTCTAAACATAGCCAAATTTCATGAAGTAATTAGGCTGTTGAGCATAAACCAAAAAACTTCTTCATTATTTCTGACTCATTCAACTCTGCTTTTGGCTTTTCAGATTTTATATTTCCAGTGTTTCCCTTAGTGACCTTGAACATACTATTGTTTGTTGGATTTTGCTATATTGTTTTACAAATGATGCAATCCTAAATGAATGATCTGATAAGATCATGTTTTGGAAAATTTTTGTTGCTAGAGAATTTGGTCATGTCATTTATTCTTCAGTTATGTTGTATCTCCCTGAAACTTGAACCTGGTAGAAGATTTGAAATATCTAGATAGGGGTTACAAGGGTGACAGTAGTTTTTGTGTCATTTCATGTATCCTGTAAAAGCATACGTTCTCTCTCTTCATTTATGTCATCTTCTCTGATTTCTTCGTCAGTGTGTTTTCTTATATATGAAATGTGTACACACAAACATGTCGCATAAAAGTATATTATAACCATACAAAATTTTGTTCATGTTTCCTTAGCCATTGAACAATGTGTACACTACTTGTTCTTACTGCTGTTGGAACAATTGTGTGGTGGTCATTGTAATATCTTCATACTTCATGTTAAGAATGTAACTACTATGAGCTGCATGATGTTTCTTAGGTAATTGATGGCTGATGTCAGTGTCATAGCCCTGGACTGATTAGTATATAGTTGCTTGTTATTATGTCTCAATTGCTGAATCTCAGAAACCACTGTGTGCAATTACAAGATTTTAAATATTGTGTTATACTATAATTTGTTAGCATTCTTCTAGGATCTCAAGAGGAACAATTTTCTATTGATATCTGATACATCTATAGTTGCATATTGGACATGAGCTTTGTGGTTTATTTCCATGTGGTCTTTAATTTTCTGGTCTCGCTATGCTAAATGAACTTCCAATATGTTAGGCTTCCTGTCCGCTGGGATAAGACTGTCATTGTTGTTATGAATGAAGTCCGTGTCAGCATCCCATATCTCCCGGAAAATGTTACTGGAGGAACGCCTGCTGCCAATGATCGGGTGAAGAAAGTGGTAACTACTTTTTTACTTATTTTTGAAATGTTCTAGTTTATGAAATATATTGTTACTTATGGTGGTAGTTCTCTTGTTTCTGTCTACCCACACAGCTTGAATTTGAGAGGAAAAGGCTGCAAGCTCGTGGTCCTGGCCAGTTCTGATCATTGTATATTATTATTGAGCTCAGGTGTATGAGTTAGTTTCTAAAGCCTTAGTTAAAGGATGTTATAGCAACCTTGTGTCTATGTTAACTTCACCTTGTATGAGCAACATTATAAGCATCTACAAATTGCTTCATCATGAAAAATTGAGTTGTACTAGCTTAATTTCAAATTCCCCATCTTGAAGGATGTGCTTCCAGTAATGCTTGGTATTTAGCGAACGTAGAAATTTCATTGAATCAACTCTCTCCCCTGCCCTGAATGGGCTTCTAAAATCTCAAAGAAGTCTTCAATCCATCTTGACAGCATTTACCATGTGGCACAGATCATTTTCTATGAACTGAAGCATCCATTTTTTACTTAATTTGGCAACTTGTCTGTTAAAACTGCATATGTTAAACCTTCTTTGGCAGAAATGATGCTATGGGTTGTGGAAGCTTGTTTTGTATGTGAACTTGTTGGACTTCAGATGGTGAACCATGCATTCATGACTCTTTAAGTTTTGTGGCTAAAGCTCATAATGCTGTTACATGAAAATGCAGGCCAGTTGTTCAAGCACAATAAGAATGCCTCAAATTTAGAGGACTTTAGGTGTACCTATTTACATCTATCTTAGTTCACTTGGCATTCCAACCTCATGAAAAATAGTTGGACCAGGAGCAATCACATTCTCCTCACCTTCTTGCACAGTCCAATGTGATGATGATGGTAGGGTACTTCAATCAATGCACCCTTCCTATTAGTTTGAACTCTTTCACACATCCAATAGTGCAGAGATAGATAGATAGATGCATTTTAAGCATTTGGAGGTGAAATCAATTTGACACCCTTGACTCACTTTATGGTGTCATTGCACCCAAACAAGTGGCATTGACTACACAAACATCCAAGAGGAGGAGAATTAACCAATTTGTCTTAAAAGATGAACCTTTTTTACAAGATTTGAACACACACACACCCCCAGTCTTTCTTTGGTGGCTTAAGTTCAATAATGCTAAGAACTTCAATTGCTATCACTTCAAACAAAGACATGTAATTCATTTAACAGTGTATGTCATTTCTTATTATAGGCCTAATTTTTCAATCCAATAACATAGCCAAATCAACAAAGCACTAATTTTTCTTATTTATGATAACTATGATACAGGCCTTCACATCCCCACTGCACAATGATTTGGGAAGGTGGGATTGATGCCCCAGTGGCAAGGAAGAACCCCACTTGATCCAGCATAATTTATGATCTGGTTTATGAACAGTAGTAGGACATGGTTTTTCTCCAATCTCAACAAGTTGAAGTGTGTGCCCACATGTTCTTCCAAGAATGCAGTGTAGCATTCTGATGAAGAATAAATGAATGCATTGGGTTAAAGGTAAGTGAATCATCATGTGGTTTCCAAGGCATTGATGGTGTAAGTCTCAATGGCAGATTGTACAACATCAACCTTACATTTATTTCAGTGCTGCAAAAAGGATACTGGCAACACTGTCAAGCAATCATTGCCCTCACTTTGAGTCAGGCTGAGGCAAGAAATATTCCAACTGAGGTGATCTTTAAGCAATAACTAGGAATCATTTCTTAGAAGGACAAAAGCTGAGAAAGATAAAAGCATACACTTCCCATTGATGAGGTGAATTGGAACCATAAGTTTCCAGGCCTCCAAGAAAATGGAAGATTTTAGAGATTAAAGTTGGGGTTAAGTTTGGAACTCAATGACCCTAATGAGGATCAAGATTTCTTGTGATATATGAAGGTTATAATAATTTTTTTATAAAATTTTTTTATATCAATTAATCGACTAATTGAAGTTGGCGTAAAATAATTTATTATATTCATCAAACTCTTATATGTTAATCTAATTATTTTTTGTTCGATTTCAATTCGAGATTAAATCGAAATCGGATCCTAATTCTTATTATTAAAAAAATAAACTCATAATACTAGTGCTAATACATAATAAAATATTAGGAACTTGAGATACCTAAAAAAAATCATTGGAACCCACATTTCTCCTTCTTTCACCAAAAAAAACAAAAAAAAAATTCCATGACCTATTTGACCCTATCTCTATCTAACATAACAAAGAATCATTTCTGTCATTTTCATCCCTTTCTCTATCATTTAAATCTTTTGTGATTGAGATCTCACAACATCATATGAAATGGATGGTCATAGTAATCTACAATTTTTTCCCCTTTTGTCATGTTAGATAAGAACTCTTATGATTCCACATCTTGTGTGATATATCATCCATATGTCATACATATTAGTCACACATCTGTTTTGAGAATTATGAGGCTCAAAGCTCATCTTATTTTATCTTTCACATCCTTGATTAAGATTAGAATTTGGCAATTGTAATTTCAAAAATATAATCCCTAACAAGAATTTGCACATAGCTTAAGCTGTTTCCAAATAATTAAAATTAGTTTTATTTGTTATAATTAAAAATCTGATCAGGTCTCAAATATGTATTTTTATTGGTTTAAGAACAAAAATATTTAAAAAAATTAAATTCCATGCTAATTATAACATAACATTAGTCAAAACATTCACCTTAAACATTTACTCATAAATTAAAAAGAAATACCTTCTGAAAAATAAAAAAAATGAGGAGTTTTTACTAAGCATTCACCATTATACATTTAGTTAAAACTAGTGAGACAAATGGTAGAAAACAGGAAGAGAGAGAGAGAGAGAGAGAGGTTTGCACAAAATTCCACCCATCACAGCAAAGATAAGAGAGAATGAGATATCAAGATTCAGGAAATGCTTTGGCTAGAGAGAGAGTAGGGTGACTTTGGGGGTGTGTTTGTGCCTGCTTTATGAGACCAATAGGCAGACACCCACTTGCTTCTTTTCCACATATTGTGGCTTGATGGGTGGAGAGCAGTAGCACACTTACTGTTGGAGGAGTTTTGAGTGGCCTTCTTTCTCCCACTCTTACTACTGGTCTTTAGCCACACTGTCTTCCTGGTTTCTTCCTCATCCTGCCCTGCAATTTGGATCTTGATGCTTCAGGCCTGCAAATCTTGGAATCCCTTCGTGGGTTTCATGCTTAATGTGTTCTTTTTCTTGGTGTTGGGGGTGTGAGGTTCTTCACAGTGCTGGCTTGGAGCATCTTGCAGGGGTAAGTTCTTGAGGAGGAGAGGAGAGGAGAGGAGAGGGGATGGCAGGTGGTGGTGGAGGAGCGGCGCCTGCGCCGAAGCAGGACGAGTTGCAGCCGCACCCGGTGAAGGATCAGTTGCCCAATGTCTCCTACTGCATCACCAGCCCGCCTCCCTGGCGTGAGTCCTTCCCCCATCTTATTGCCTCCAGAGTATCTCTCCTGTTCCCGAGGAACACTGCTTGTTCTCCTCCCACTTCTTTTGCTGTGAATCTCGTTGGCTTATGTTGTCTGGTACCGTGTGCATTGTTGCTTGAATATGTTAGATGTCTTTTGATTTGCCAGCGGTAACATTCTCGTTGCTCGAAACCCTTCATTTTTTTTTTTTTTTCTGGTTTTCAAGACAATGGGATTCTTTTCGGATCTGTGATTTCCTGTTGAATGCTCCTCTACGGAGGAAAGAAGTAAATCTACTTATTTCTTGTGACATGGTCAGATTTTTCTTGTCTTGCTCACATTTTCTGTTTGACGATCTGATATGCTCTCCATTAATGCCTTCTTTATATGAATTAATTTTCCATTCCAATTGATGGGAAATTTTGTTCTGGTTAATAAAAATTGGATCTTGACTTTTTTTTTGTATTTTGGATCTTTGCGATGCAGCTGAAGCCATACTTCTTGGTTTTCAACATTTTCTGGTTATGCTAGGCACTACTGTTATCATCCCCACTGCTCTTGTTCCTCAAATGGGCGGAGGAAATGTAAGAATGAATCAGTTTTTAGAGGAATTTTTTTGTTATATGTATAGTTTTTTGTGGTTGATTTCTTATAGTTTGGTACCTTACCTTTTTAAAACTGTGATCATCACAATTAGGATGAGAAAGCCAGGGTAGTCCAGACATTGCTGTTTGTGGCTGGTATCAACACTCTATTCCAAACTTTGTTTGGTACACGGTTGCCGGCTGTAATTGGAGGTTCTTATACTTTTGTTGTGCCAACCATCTCTATTATCTTGGCTGGTCGCTACAGTAATATTGTGGATCCGCACGAGGTTGCTAGAAGTCTGAACTTTGCATTTCATTGTGCTCTTTTTCAAAATCACTCAGCAGCATTGTATCATGCAGAAATTTTTGCGTATAATGCGTGGAACACAGGGTGCCCTAATTGTTGCTTCAACCCTTCAAATTATTGTCGGTTTCAGTGGTCTTTGGCGAAACGTAGCTAGGTGGGTAATATCATTTTCTTTTTTATCATCATCAATGTCTGTGATTTTTTGTTCATAATGTTCTCTTGCCTTCTGTAATATGAGTATCCAGATTCTTAAGTCCACTGGCAGTGGTTCCTCTGGTTGCACTTGCTGGCTTTGGACTTTATGAGCTTGGTTTTCCTGGGGTAATAATTTACTGTTTTTGGTGGAACTTAAATTCTACTGTCAAACTAACCTTTTCATGCTAATGTGCTTCTGGATACTTTTCTATGATCTTCCTATTATTTTTTTCTCATTTATTAAAATGTGGATTGCAGGTTGCCAAGTGCATCGAAATTGGGCTACCACAGATAATTCTTTTAGTCATATTCTCACAGGTATTATCATCATTGAACTTTTTGAGGGTATCACATTCGTGTTCTACATTCATGTTTAATGCAACTTATAAAAATCATAATAAATGATGTTATCTTTTTCCAACAGTACATTCCTCATTCTCTACATTCAGAGAAGCCTGTGTTTGATCGATTTTCTGTCATACTTTCGGTTGCAATTGTATGGCTTTATGCATACTTCCTTACGGTGGGAGGAGCATATAGACATACACCACCAAAGACACAATTACATTGCCGTACGGATCGTTCAGGGCTTGTTGGTGGTTCTCCCTGGTAAGATTATTTCTACCGCATTTTTGTGCTAATGACCTTTGTATCTTCTAAAATCTTATTCATGGCAACAAATAGGATTAGATTTCCATATCCTTTCCAATGGGGTGCACCAACATTTGATGCTGGTGAAGCTTTTGCAATGATGGCTGCTTCATTTGTTTCCCTTGTTGAGGTCAAATATCATCTTTCCTTT